TTGTGTGTTTTTTAAAAAAAGCTAACGTGGATAAAGATAAATACTTTTAACTGATGGTATATGGAGGGGATTATAATCAATGTAATGAAACAAGTTATTTGAATTGTTGAATGTAAAACTGATGATGTGGCCTGTAAACTTTCACTCAATCCACAATAAAAACCTTAAATTTAAAAAAATAAAAAAAGAAGATTGAAAAAAAAAAAGGTAATGTATATGTGCTCAACCAAAACAACAATCCTGAGGATGATACAAGACCAGGCAGTGTTTTGTTCTGCTGTGTATGGGTCGCTATGAGTCAGAACTGATTCAACGGCACTTAACAACAATAACAGGAAGATTAAGATAAAATACTTGTTATGAAAAAGGTAGAAAATAACAAATGTTGGAGACAGTGTAAGACAATTGGAACCTTTATCCATTGCTTGTGGGAATGCAAAATGTTTTATCCATTGTGGAAAACTGTGTTGTGATTTGTCAAAAAAACAAAAATAGAACTGCCATATGACCCAGTAATTGCACTTGTAGATACATATCCAAAAGATTTGAAAATAGAGATACAAAAAATGGTTTGTATATCAATGTTCACTACAGTACTATTCACATCAGTCAAAAGGTGGTAACAACCTAAATGCCCATTAACAGATGAATACTAAATCAAAATATGATGCAAATGTATAATAAATTACTAATCAACCAGCAGGAAAAAATGAAGTCTTGATATAAGCTTACAGTATGGTTGGAGCTAGGAAGACATATTGAGCAAAATAAACCAATCACAAAAGAAAAGAAAAAAAGGTAAAAGGTAATGTATATCTATTTACCTCATTGTTGGTATAATGTAGATCCATAGATTGTCCAAAGGCAATTTTAGCTTTAGACTTCAGATCTTCCAGTTTAACTGGCCTGGGAAACTGAAGGATTCTATACAGGAAGAATTTCAAAATATTTTATTTTATTAGGCATTGTCTAATAACACACCTGCAACAATTACTTATAGCTAAAGAGACACAAAATTAAGTAAAAATAAAGTGAACACCCCACCACTTGCTTGTCAGTTTGTCATATTTATGATGGCTTGCACGTTGCTATGATGCTGGAAGCTATGCCATCGGTATTTTAAATATCAGCAGTGTCACCCATGACGGACAGGTTTCAGCTGAGTTTCCAGACTAAGACACAGTAAGAAGGAGAAACAGACTACTTCTGAATGTTTAGCCACTGAAAACGTTATGAACAACAGTAGAACCCTGTCAGATAGCACCAAAATATTGAACATTGAAACATTATGAATAGCATCAGAATACTGTCAGCTATAGTGCCAGGAGATGAGCCCCTCAGGTTGAAGGGTATTTATAATACAACTGGGGAAGAGCTACCTCCTCAAGTAGAGTTGACTGTAATGCCATGAGTGGAGGAAAGCTTTCAGGACTTTCACATGCTGATGGGACAAAATTCAAAGTGAAGAGAAACAGCAGTAAACACCAACGAGTAATGAGAACACCAAATGCATGAAGTATGATCTTTGAAAATTGGAAGTTGTCAAAAATGAAATGGAATGCATAAAGATCAGTATCCGAGGAATCAGTGAGCTGAAATGGACTGGTATTGGCTGTTTTGAAATTGACAATTAAATGGTTTATTATGCCAGAGAAAGACAAATTGAAGAGAAATAGTGTCACATTCACCATCAAAAAGAACATTTCAAGATCTATCTTGAAGCATAATGCTGTCTGTGACAGGATAATATCCATATGCCTAAGAGGAAGACCAATTAATACCAGCATTATTCAAATTTATGTACCAACCACTAAAGGCAGTAATGAAGAAACTGAAGAATTATATCAATTTCTTCAGTCTGAAAGTGATCAAACATGCAATCAAGATGTATTGATAATGACTGGCAATTGGAATGCAAAGGATGGAAACAGGAAGGAAATGTGGAAATACAAAATGTTTTATCCATTGTGGAAAACTGCTGTGGTTCATCTTGGTGGTAAGAAATGATAAGGAATGTCTTGGTGATAAGAAATGATGTTGGAGATTGTATGATAGAATTTTGCAAGATCAATGACTTATTCATTGTAAATACTTTTGTAAATGACATAAATGATGACTATATGAATCGGGCTGCTAATTTCAAGGTGAGCAGTTCGAAACTACCAGCCTTTCTGTGGGAGAAAGATAAGGCTTTCTATCCCATAAAGATTTACAGCCTCAGAAACCCTGTACAGGATTGCTGTGAGTTGGCACTGACTCCATGGTACTTAACAACAACAACATACACATGGATCTCACCTGATGGAATACACAGTAATATTAAACTGACTACATCTGTGGGAAGAGATGGTGGAAGAACTCTATATCATTAGTCAAAACAAGATCAGGGCAGACCGTGAAACAGACTATCAGTTTCTCACATGCAAGTTCAGACTGAAGCTGAAGAAAATTAAAACAAGTTCACGAGAGCCAAAATATGATCTTGAACACATCCCACCTGAATTTAGATACCTAAAAGCTCAAGAATATATTTGATGCATTAGACACTAATGAGAGAACACTAGAATAGTTGTGGGATGACAACAATGACATCATACAGGAAGCAAGCAAAAGGTCATTAAGAAGACAAGAGAGAAGGAAAAGAAGAAAATGGATGTCAGAAGAAATTGTGAAACTTGCTCTCTAGCATAGAGATATTAAAGCAAATTGAAGAAATGAGCTAAAAACAATTGAACAGAAAATTTCAAAGAGCGGCTTGAGAAAAATAGTTTATTATAATGAAATGTCAAAGACCTGGAGTTAGAAAACCAAAAGAGTCACTGTACCAAAAAGAAATGGTTGGTGAAATTAGTCACAAAAGGAGAAATGCTGCATAGGACCATTATTGTAAAAGATTAAGAAAAAGAACACACACTAAAAGGGTAAAAAAAAACGTTTGCTGGTCACTGGGAAGTATGGGGTGGGGTGGGGTGAGGGGAGGGAGGTACAGCACATGGTAGGGAATAGACAGAAGATAGCCTGGGTGCTGGGAGGGGGGTGGGTGGCAATACCCAAGAAGGGGGAGGGGAATAGAAGAACAGTTAGGCAAGCTTGCATGGGCTAAGTGGGGCACAGTTAAGTAATGATGTATGCACAACTTTGGAATAACAAGACTCTGGGATACAGGGATTGAGGCATGGTTTGAATGGGGAAAAGAGGGGAAATAATGTTTTTGAATCTTGGTTTCCCTTGCCTACAGACACTTGAGGGGGAGAGAAAGGAATAGCGAAAAGCATCACCATAGAAAGCTTGTAAGTCCGTCTTCAGCCTATATCAGATTGGAATACCTAAAACGGGGCTAGGGCTAGAGCTAGTCCAGTGAAGGAGGCTTCCTGCGGAGTCTCTGCATTGCATAAGAGCCTTTGCATTGCATTCCACCACATAGGTGGAATCCTGAATCCTATCCAGAATCTTCTGAGGCGGGAAATTTCCACTTGAAAGGACACGCAGACCAGCCTGGGGCTTCTGGAAGAACAGAAGATGCTTCTTGAAAGAAAGACGGGCAGAAAAAATAATAAAACAATAATGGGAGTTTGACTACTGCAGGAATGGGCAAGTTGTTCACTTGGGAACCATCAAGGCAAGTGGTCAGGTCCCCTCAAGGCAAACCCCCTTCCAAGAGGAATACATGAGCAGGCATATGGTCTGGCTGGTGACCACATTTGGTCACCGATAATGGGAAGTGGGGGAAAAACAGCAATGAAGTTGTGAACTAAGTCCAACCACATTCAATAGACTCCTGTGAATCTGGTTTGAGACCTGGTTGGCCAGCAGTATGGCAAGACCTGGGGACTCTTGGGCCCAGAGACAGTGACATAGTCACAGAGGACTAGAGGGAGAGTGAAGCTGATACAAAGTGAGAGGAGATGTACAAGAACATCCATACTTGCAGATAATACCCACTTGACCTGGCTTCAATGGTTGGATGATCAGAACTCGACTAAAAGAACAAAGAAGAGAAAAAACAGAGTAATCTGCTACAATTTGATGAACTTTACCTATGCTTGTGGATGTAGTAGCTCAAAAGAGGGAATAAATCTTTACAGCGAGGGTCATTCCCACCCCCTCAGTACATAGGGTTGACAGGGATAGGCAACTTAGATATTGGCTACCCAAAATGGAGGTGCTACAAAGGCAAGAAGTGACTGGTTTACAAGCTTTCAAGAGGGAGCCTAGATCCAGAGGGTGCAGAGGAAGGTAGAATCTCCACTGAGTGGCTTCCAATCTGTCGGAATGGGCTGAAGAAAGGAGATGGGGATAAGACTCTAGTGGTACAATAGTGAATAATTACTGTCAGGACTGACTGTGAGGGTTGGAAATATAAAGGTAGACATTTTGTAACAAAAGGAGGGGAGTGGTTGATTTTGTAGTCCAGGAGCGGAGGTCCCTGGGACCATCAAGGGAGAAGAATGGAGTGTGGGACCCTACCCAGAGAAACAGTGACGCCAGAGATGGAGGCAGAGATGATGACATGGAAAGATGGAGCAACTGGGGACTCTGGACTCAACGAGGGAGAGGGGCTGTGTGCTGAAGATTGGGGGGCAGGCTTGCGGGGTGTACCCTTTGGTTGTTTGATAATACATGGAGGGGATTGTAATCATTGCAAATAAAAGAAATGCGATAGGATTTCTTAATTCATAATTCATAATTAAAAAAAAAAAAAAGAAATGGTTGATATTCAATCATTTCAAGAGGTAGCATATGATTAAGAGCCAATGGCATTGAAGGAGGATGTCCAAGGTGCACTAGAGGAGCTGACAAAGAACAAAGACTCTGCGAATTGGTAGAATACAAATTGAAATCTTTTAACAAACTGATGCAGCATTGGAGGCACTCACTCATCTATGCCAAGAAATTTGGAAGACAACTATCTGGCCAAATGATTGGAAGAGATCTCATATTTCTGTCCATTCTAAAGAGAGGTGACACAACGAAATGAAGAAATCATCGAAAAACATCACTCATTTAAAATATAAGTAGAATTTAGGTAAACATAATCCAAAAGCATCAACAACAGTACATTGACAGGGAACTGCCAGAGGCTCAAATTGGATTCAGATGAGGTCATAGAATGAGCATTACCATTGTTGATTGAGATGGATTATGGCTGAAAGCAGAGAATACCCAAAAGATGTTTACCTATGCTCTACTGACTATGCAAAGGTTTCAACTGTGTGGATAATGACACACTATGAATAACATTATGAAAAATGGGTATTCCAGAACACTTAGTTGCGCTCATGAGGAACCAGTACATAGAGTAAGAGGTAGTGGTTAAAACAAAACAAGGGGACACTGAATGGTTTAAAATCAGGAAAAGTATGTGTCAGGGTTGTTTTCTTGTACCATACTTATTCAATCTGTATGCTGAGCAAATAATGTGAGAAGATGGATTATATGTAGAAGAATATGGCAACAGAATTGGAGGAAGACTCATTAACAACCTACAATATGAAAACGATATAATCTTGCTTGCTGAAACAAAGACTACTTAAAATACTTACTGATAAAGAGCAAAGGCCACAGCCTTCTGTATGACACCTCACCACGGGACTAATCAGTAACATCATTATAAATGGACTTTCCATTTACAATGGAAAATATATTTTTATATATTGAAGTTGTCAAAGACTTAATTTTGCTTGGATCTACTATCAACACTCATGGAAGCAGCAGTCAAGAAATCATAGGCAAATCTGCTGCACAAGACCTCTTTATAGTGTTTAAGAGAAAAGATGTCAGTTTGAGGACTAAGGTGTGCCTGACTCAAATCTTGGTATTTTCAATTGTCTCATATGTATGTGAAAGCTGGACAATGAATAAGGAAGACCATAGAAGAATTGATACATTTGAGTTATGGTGTTAAAGAAGAGTATTAAAAGTACCATGGAATGCCAGAAGAACAAACAAATCTATGTTGGAAGAAGTACAGTCAGAATGCTCCTTAGAAGCCAGGATGGCAAGACTGTCTCTCATACTTTGGACACATTATCAGGAGGGACCAATCCCTGGAGAAAGAATCATGCTTGGTAAACTGGAGGGTCAGTGAAAAAAAGAAAGACCCCCAACAAGATGGAGTGGCACAATGGCAGCAACAATGGGCTCAAGCATAATAACAGTTGTGAGGCTGGTGCAGAAATAGACAGTATTTTGTTCTCCATAGGGTTGCTACAAGTCAGAATCAACTTAATGACATCTAATAACAACAACAATATGAACATCATAACAACTATTGTCTGCTGAAGTACACAGATTCTTAACAGAAAGTCTAATAACTCTGAAATTTATTATTTTGGTAAGAAATAGAATATTAAAATTTTCACCAATTTTTAATTAGTGCTGAAATTGGTAGGTGAATATTAAAGAGTAAAGTATTCATTGTGGAAACAAATTAAATCAACTATGACATTTACACTATGGGATGCAATAAAACTGTTAAAAATAATAAAGTCATTCTTTGTGGTTTCAAATTTTGATCTTACGTACCCTTATCAACTCAAAAATTTTGAGCATATATGAGGGGGCTTCAATACAAGAATTTAAAGAATATTCCAATAAATTTTTTGAAGCTCCCTCATATATCATGTAAGCACACTCCCAAAATAAATATATTTAAATGACTAAAATTTTAAAATAAAATGGTAGTATTAATCCCAATGGATTAACCTGTAATGTCCCAAGAAGATGTACTTAAGCTTGGGGACTAACTTGTAAACACGACAATGAAAGGGACCATGTCTATTTTCTCACAGCATCCCTTCAGGGCTACCACAGTGCCTGGTATAGAGTAGCTGCTGAATGAATGATAACAACTGGGAAAATATCCACTGAAAATTTTTAACCAAGGAAAAAAGTACACTGGAGAATAGGTATATAGTACAGCTGGTATGTCCCATGTTTTTTAGCATTTTTGTGTAAATTATTTTTAAATATTCTGTTTCTATGATTTGTGAATCTTCTTGAAGTCCTTCAAGCTGACAAAAAATTTCAAACTAAATTAATAAGAAACACAAATAGCATACCTGAAATCACATCATCTCTAACTCATACTAAGTATTCTTAGCAGCTCTGTCAACAATACCACCACCATTGTTATTGCTGTTGTTTAGTGCCATCGAGTCTGTTCTGACTAGTATTGACCCTGTGATACTATGGGATAAGGCACTGGACTGCAAGGTCAGTTTGAACCACAAGGTTGGTGGTTCAAACTCACCAGCCATTCCTTGGGAACCCTGTACAGGGTTGCTATGACTTGGAACCGAACTGACAGCACTAGTGCAGCCAGACTGCTCCTTGGAGGCCAAGATGGCCAAACTTCATCTCTCATACTTAAGGCATATTGTCAGAAAGGGCCAGTCACTGGAGAAGGATGTGTTTGGTAAGGTGACGGGTCAGAGAAAAAGAGGAAGACCTCCAATGAGATGGACTGGCCAAGTGGCAGCATCGATGGACTCAAGTATGGCAATAGTAGTGAAGTTGGCCCAGGATCGGGCAGTGTTTCGTTCTGCTATACATAAGGTCGCTATGGGTCGGTACCGACTTGATGGCACCTAACAACAACAAACAACAAACAATAGCATACGGTTTCCGAAGAGGTGCTGGTGGATTTAAATCACCAACCTTGTGGTTCAAACTGACCATGTGGTCTAGTGCTTCCCACAGTGCAACACCAGCCATCACTATCATAACCATCATCAATTTGAGACAGAGATACCAAGTAGAGGCTAGGTTTACACCCCTGCTAAATAACTTACAACCACCATTCTAATTCATCCTTCCTCAATGTTATTAATTTAATACATGTCATATCCTTTAGGTCTCTTAAGAATAATCATAATTGTGAGCTTTTTAAATCCACATGAATAAATTCTGTATAGCATCTGAAGGGATGATATAATAATACTTAAAAAGAAATATATTTCGTTTCTACTGAGTAAAAAAAAAGGTTTTAAGATTAACTTCTATTTAAGGTTGCATTATATAGCAACCTTATCTTACTTATTTTCCATAAAGTATTGAGGTTGTTGTTAAAAGTGTCATCTAGTTCAGTTCTGACTCATAGTGATCCTGTAAAGGGTTTCTGAGGAAAGGTTAGTGGATTTGAATTACCAAGCTTACTGTGTCATAGCAGGAGTCCATACCGTATTACAAATAAAAACATTAATCACATCAAATGGTTAGCCTATTTTAAGTCTATCATGTATTCTTATTTTAATTTGTAAGTCATGAACAACCATCATTAAAATCTAGAAAGAACTTTTTTTGATTTAACTAGATTACATGCTTGATAAAATCAATGAACTAATATGTAATGTTTCCTTGCTTACCTTTTTTCTCCTCTATGTTCAAATTTGACTCGAACATCATTCTGTAGTGAAATGAAAAATCAGTCATATGGACAGAAACCAGGTAAAATTTCTAGAGTTTCTCATTTTTTTTGTCTTAGCCACTCATGTGTCTATCAGTTTGTCGTACTGTGGTAGCTTGTGCATTGCTGTGATGCTGGATGCTATGCTACCAGCATTTAACACACCAGCAAGGTTACCCATGGTGGAGAGGTTTCAGTGGAGCTTCTGTGAAATATTGTCAAATATAGTGCTAAAATATAAAAACATTATCAGATATAGTGCCGGAATAGGAGCCCCTCAGATAGGAAGGTACTGAAAATATGACTGGGGAAGTACTGCCTCCTCAAAGCAGAGTTGACTGTTATTACACTAATGGAGTAAAGTTCCTGGGAACTTAGTAAAGCTCATTTGCTGATGGGGAACAGTTCAAAATGAGAAGAAAAAGCTGCAAACATCCATTAATAATCAGAACATGAAATGTATAAAGCATGAATTTAAGAAAATTAGGAGTTGCCAAAATTCAATGGAACACATAAAGACTGATATCCTATGCATTAATGAGTTGAAATGGACTGATTGGCCACTTTGGTCACTGTGTTATCAGGCTTACTATGACGGGAATGAAAAATTCAGGAGAAATGGAGTCAAATTCATCATCAAAAAAAAATTTCAAGATCTATCTTGAAGTATAACACAGTCTGTGACAGGAAAATATCCATACTCCTAAAAAGAAGACCAGCTAATACAACTATTATTCAAATTCATGCACCGACCACTGAATCCAGTAATGATGAAACAGAAAAATTCTGAAAATTTCTTCAGTCTTAAATTGACTAAACATGCAATAAAAATGTACTACTAATTACTGGTGACTGGAATGAAAAGGTTGGAAACAAAAGGTGAGAAGGCTGGAAACAAAGGGAAGGGTCAGTAGTTGGAAAATACGGCTTTGGTGATAGAAATGATGCTGGAGATTCCATGAGAGAATTTTATAAGATCTTGCTCATATGCATGTTCAGGCTAAAGTTGAAGAAAATGGAAACAAGTCCATGAGAGGCAAAATATGACCATGAACATATTTCACCTGGATTTAGAGATCATCTCAAGAAGAGATTTGATGCATTAGACACTAATGACTGAAGAACAAAAGAGTTGTGGAATGATATCAAGCACATCATATATGAAGAAAGCAAAAGGTCATGAAGGAGACAAAAAAGGAGAAAAAGACCAAAATGGATGTCAGAAGAGACTTGGAAACTGGTTCTCTAATGTAGAAATACTAAAACGAATAGAAGAAATGAAGAAGTTAAAGAGCTGAACAGAAAATTTCAAAAGGCAGCTTGAGAAGAAAAAGTCAAGCATTACAATGAAATGTGCAATGATCTAGACTTAGAAAAACAAAAGGGAAGAATGTACTCAGCATTTATCAAGCTGAAAGAACTGTCGAAAAAATTCAAGCCTCGACTTGCAATACTGAAGAATTCCATGGGTAAAATACTAAGTGATGCAGAAAACTTCCAAAGACGACAGAAGGTATACAGAGAGTCACTGTACCTAAAAGGAATTGTCAGTGTTCAAACACTTCAGGAGGTAGCATATAATTTCAATAATTGATGGTACTGAAGGAAGAAGTCCTAGCTGCATTGAAGGCATTGGCAAAAACAAGCCTCCAGGAATTGACAGAATAAAAATTGAAATCTTTCAACAAACTGATGCAGGACTGAATGTACTTATTCATCTACACCAAGAAATTTGGAAGACAGCTAACTGACCAACCAATTGGAAGAGATCCACATTTGTGCTGATTCCAAAGAGAGGCAACCCAAGGGAATAAAAAAATATCATTATCACATGAAAATAAAATTTTGCTGAAGGTAATTAAAAAATGGTGGCCATAGTACATACACAGGGAACTGCCAGAGACTCAAGCGAGGTTCAAAAGACGACATGGAACTAGGAATATCATTGCTGATGTCAGATGGATCTTGGCTAAAAGCACAGAATACAAAAAGAGGTTTATTTGTGCTTTACTGACTATGCAAAGGCTTTAGATTGTCTGGATCATGACAACACTGTGCAGAATGGGTATTCTAGAACACTTGATTGTAATCATGAGGAGCCTATCCATAGACCAAGAGGTTGAATAGAACAAGAAGATTCTGAATGGTTTAAAATCAGGAAAGGTGTATGCCAGTGTTGTATTCTTTCACCTGATTTATTCAATCTGTATGCTGAGCAAATAATCCAAGAAACTGGGTTATATCAAGAAGAATGGGACATCAGGAATGAAGGGAGACGATACAACCTTGCTTGCTAAAAGCAAAGAGGACTCAAAATACTTACTGATGAAGATCAAAGACCACAGCCTTTAGTATAGGTTGCACCTCAATGTAAAGAAAACAAAAATTCTCACAACTGAACCATCATGATTATGTCATGATAAACAGAGAAAATATTAAACTTGTCAAAGACTTCATTTTGCTTGGATCCATTATCAACACTCATAGAAGCAGCAGTCAAGAAATCAAATGACATATTGTATTAGGCAAATCTGCACAAGACCTCTTTAAAGTGTTCAAGAGCAAAGGTATCAGTTTGAGAACTAAAGTACGCCTGACCTAAGCCATGGTATTTTCATATGCATGCGAAAGTTGGACAATGAATAAGGAAGACCATATAAAAATTACAGCATTTGAGTCATGGTGTCGAAAAAGAACAAACAAATCTGTTTCAGAAGAAGTACTGCCAGCATACTCCTTAGAAGCAAGGATTGCGAGACTTCATCTTTTATACTTCAGAAATATTATCAGCAAGGACCAGCCCTTGGAAAAGGAAACTCCCCAACAAGATGGATTGGCACATTATCAGCAGCAATGGGCTTAAGTGTTAACAACAGTTGTGAGGATGGTGCAGGACCAGGCTATGTTTAGTTCCGTTATGCATAGGGTTACTGTGAGTCAGAACTGACTTGACAGCACCTTACAACTACTCATTCAAAACACAGAAGAGGCAAGATTTCTTTTATTATTGTCAACTCCAGTCAACGAATAGTGTTTGTCAAAGAACTGAGTTGAGACATATTGTGAAGTCTAGGCTCAACAGGAAAGTCAATAAAAATCTATTCCTGATGGCATCAAGAAGAATATGGTACATTTGATAATCATGTTATAGAGGGAAATGTAGACTACTATATTTCTACTTTTTATGTTGGACATGCCAATCTTCATTTAGAAGAATCAAATCATGCTTAATTGTAAATAATCAGCTTCCAGAATAGATTACTTGAAATAAAAACAATTTGCTTACATTACATGCTGTAAGAGAGATGAACTAACACCTCTAGAGAGAACACAGCACGTTAAATATAACTGTACTAATTTTTTAAATGTATGCTCTTATGGTAGTATAACAAGCATCAGTAACATGTTTGCTTCAAAAGTGTGAAAGCTAAACAAATTTTCTTTAAAACCAGGCTATTAAAGGTAAATAACTCACAGAAAAATGATATATATATTTGATTAAAGGATCACTGATAGATATACCTGTTTTTTAGGTGATTTTATTGTTCTGATTTCCTGTAGGGATAACGCTGGTCGACTGGCCTTATGAAGAACAGCCAAATCTTGCATAATTGAGTTCAAAGCTTGCTGATCATCTAAGTATTTAAAAAATAAGACAAAGAACTGTAATTTCTTTATATTTATTTGTAATACACATGAAACACAAAATTTATCATGGAATTTAATGCCAAAATGCATCTAGAAAATTTTTAGATAAATAGACTTCAATTATTTTGAATATTTATTTAAATAAAATTATAATTATTTAATGACTGATGATAAATAACACTAGACTCCTGCTCCAAACTACGGGTCCACACACAAGATGTTTACAGGCAAGATAATGTCAGTCTGATTCTTCTAATAACGCAATAATGTCCTGTGATAAGGATAAAAGCGGATACAGTAATAAGACATTTTCTTCTATGACTCCTCAATTAAAACTCAACAAGCCATCTAAAATCTTAATTAAAGCAAGCAGGATTAAAAAAAAAAGAACACTCACCTTTCTATAAATGCCATCATCATTTACATTCAAAGTATAGAATCCACTTTAAAACTTTTCTCCATTAATGTTTAATGACGTCAGAAACAAAAAAGAACTTAATTTGCAAATAAAAGAACAACAAAAACCCCCACTGCCAGTAAGTTCATTCTGATTCGTTGTTGTTGCAACTCAAAGTGACCCTGTGTAGGGTTTCCAAGGAGCAGCTAGTGGGCTTGAACTGTTGACCTGATGGTTTGTAGAACAGTGCTGATCCTACAGCACCACACCAGGAGTCCAACTCATAGCGACCCTATGAAAGGTTTCCGAGACTGTAAATCCTTCTGGGAGCCGACAGCTTTATCTTTCTCCTACAGGGTTTGAACGAACATGTGGTCAACAGCCCAACACCTAATCCTGAGTTCCATTTGGGCTCCTAATTTAATGATCTCAGCTAATTAACAATCTGTTGCTGTTGTTGTTAAGTGCCGTCAAATTAGTTCCGACCCATAGGAACCCTGTACAGGGTTTCCGAGGCTGTAAATCTTTATGGGAGCAGAAAGCCTCATCGTTCTCCCGTGGAATGGCTGATAGTTTCGAACTGCTGACCTTATGAATTCACAGCCCGATTCATAACCACTACACTACCAGAGCTCCTTAATTAATGATCTAGAAGATCACAATATATGAAAGGTCAATTTCTTATATAAAGTACTAAATCATAAAACTGAGGAAAGCATCCTGAATCATGAACTTCCAAACATAGCAAATATTTCTGATACTGTAAGGATGTGTCTGTTAGTAACACAAATGATATATTATAAATTCTTGGTGGTGATGGTTATGTGCCGTGGAGTCAGTTCCGACTCACAGCGACCCTGTACAGAGTTTCCGAGGCTGTAAATCTTTACAGGAGCGGAAAGCCTCATCTCTCTCCTGTGGAACAGCTGGTAGTTTCAAACTGCTGACCTTGCGGTTCGCAGCCCGATTCGTAACCACTATGCTACCAGAGCTCCTTGGGAAGAATTTAATTAATTTTCACTAGTAAATAAATTCTACTAATGATAATAAGCAGTTAGTAAGATAATTGAGAAACTTTACATACGAGGGTAAGTAAAAAATATTGCTACTAGGGTTCCAGTTCATATATGCTGCTGCTGTTGTTAAGTGCCACTGAGTCAGTTCCAACTCACAGTGACCATGTCTAGGGTTTCCAAGGAATGGCTGGTGGATTTGAACTACTAACATTGCAGTTCATTCTTTTGCCAACCTCCCTTTTATTGTATATTGCCTTCCCCTTCACCCAAATTAACATATGTCTACCCTCTAGGAGTCCTGCTATGGCTCTGTAGGATATGCATTGGACTGAGAACCAAAAGGTTGGTGGTTCAAATTCACCAGGAACCCTGGAAACTCTATACAGGGTCACTATGACTGGAGCCAATTCGGTGGCACTTAATAACAACAACTTTCTAGAGAGTGAGTAACTCCGCCTTCCCTCTGACCCTGGAACAATCATCATAGAATGTTTCTTTTAGTGTGAAAACTTTTTTTTTTTTTTTTGGACTTTGGAATCAAGAAAGGGCCCTTCCCTATTTTTTTTTTTTTTTTTTTGCACTTTTTACAATACTGGTCTTACACAATATTTGTCCTATTGTGATAGACTAACTCCATTCAGTATAATGATAAGGCATTCGTGATAATGGTAAGATCCTTAATTTATGCTGCAGAGTGAAATTTTATACTTACATGTATCTATGTTGTTCTAAAGGAGCTCTAGTAGCATAGTGGTTATGAGTCAGGCTGCCAACCTCAAGGTCAGCAGTTCAAAACTACCAGCTGTTCCGTGGGAGTAAGATAAGGTCTTCTGCTCCCGTAAAGATTTACAGCTCAGAAACCCCATGTAGGGTCACTCTGGGTCAGAACCGACACCAGGGCACAAGACCACCACCACCTATGCTGTTCTAAAGCATAACAATTGTGAGGATGGTGCAGGACATCTGCTATGCATAGGGCCGCTGTAAGTTAGAACTGACCTAACTGCACCTAACAACAACAATAGCAATGCTGTTCTTATTTTTTTTATTAGAAAACTTAATATCTGAATAGGAGTTTTCAAGTGTTTAATATCACATGCCAAAATAAATAATTGCCAGGAAGGCTTCAACTTAATCTTTAATACATTTACATATATTTATTTTCCTGGTGTGGCGCTGGGGGTTAATGCGTTGGATTGCAAAATCAGTTTGAACCACAAGGTCAGCGGTTCAATCTCACCAGATGCTCCTCAGAAGTCCTATACAGGGTCACTATGGGTTAGAGCTGACTCAACGGCACTTAACAACATTTTTCTTGTTAAGAAAAATGACTACCATTTTCTATCCTAGATGTAAAAAAAAGCAAAGAAAGTCATTTATGTCTCACAGTGATTTGGCAAAAGTAATTCTTTATGGAGATGACATACAAAACAAAACACAATTTCATTAAGCTCATTCTTTTTCTGTCTTGAAGGACAATCACATGGTAGATAAGTATCTAGTAGGAAACTTACTTTGAGGAGAGTGACAAAGCAAAAGCAATGAAATTCACAAATGATCATAGAAAGTGTGAACATACTCACACTACAAGGACTGTTATAAAAATTCAGGGAAAACTTGTGGTAATCATTCCCTCACTGCCAATGAGTTGATCCTAACTCACAGTGACCCTGTATAGGGTTTCCAAGACAGTAAATCTTTACAGGAGCAGAAAGCCTCAGTTTTCTCCTACAGAGTGAATGGTGAATTTGAACTACAGATTAAACTGGTTATAAATGTCATATGATAATGAGGTGATCCAATAGACAACAAAGATGCCCAGAGAATCCTCGCGTCTGACCAATGGGTATAGAGAAGAAGCTTCTGATATATGTTGAATGGACTTTTAGTTGGCTATAAAGCCAGAAAATATTTGAGAAATAGTTTCATACAAAACCTTTTACTAGAAATGCTGAATTAATTAGAAAAAGAAGTCCTGGTGGCACTGTGGGCTAGGAGCTGGGCTGCTAACTGCAAGGTACTGGACTGGTAACGAGGTGTTCCATAGGAGAAAGATGAGGCTGTCTACTCCCATAAAGATTTAAATCTCAGAACACCCCCCCATAGGATTACTACAAGTCAGAAACAACTTGATGACAGAGGGTTTAGTTTGTTTTGTGAATGCTTATTTAGTAGACTTGAGAAATGACTATAGGACAACAAAACCAAAAAGAACAAACCCATTGCAGTCAAGCCTATTTGTGACAGTGTAAACCTTTACGGAAGCAGACTGCCTCATCTTTCTCCCATCCAGGAGAAGATCCTCAATAAAAAAAAAATCAAATATGTGATCCACACTTTAAAAATATCCATGTTTTTCTGTGAATATGTTTTTTTTTTCTGGGCTGTAAATGTGTTTTTTTTTTTTTAATGTTTTATTGTGAATTATATGATAGTTTACATGAGAGAACCTCAGTTCCATATTCATTCCATTGTATATCATTACATTGCCATGGTTCCAATCCCCTCCATGCATCACCTTCCTTCCGATCAGAGGGCATATCCTAGAAGCCTGTGCTCTACACTCCCACCTCCCCCCTCAGTCTTCGGCCTACAGTTCCTCTCCCTCTCTGGATCCAAAGTCCCCAGCCGCTTCATCCCTCCATGTCATCATCTCTGTCTCAATCTCAGGCATCCATGGTTCTCTGGGTGGGGTCCCGTTCTCGGCTATTATACGTTGGTGGTCCCAGAGACCTCCGCTCCTAGACTAGAGAAATAATCGCTCTCTTCCTTGCTACAAAACATCTACCCTTGCATTTCCAACACTCACAATCCATCTTGATAACCATTATTCACTACAGTATCATGAGTAACCCATCTGTATTTCAATTCATCAGCTCCACCTAGACAAACTGGATAGTACTCACTGGTGATTCTGCCTTCCTCCATGCCCCCTAGCTCTAGGTTCCCTCTTGAAAGCTTGTAAGCCAGTTACTTCTTGCCTTTGTAGTCCCTCCCTCCCCATTTGTGTATTCAATGTCCGAGTTGCCCCTCTCTGTCTACTCTGTGTGTGGAGGGGGTGGGAATGTTTCTTGCTGTAAGGATTTGTTGCCTCTTTTGTGTCACTGCATTCGTATGCATAAGTTCATCAGCTTGGATCAGTTCAATCTTCTTCCCTCCCCCCACCTCTTCTTTCTTCTCCTGGTTGAACTCTGATCATCCAGTCATCCAGTCCCGGTCACGTGGGTGTCATCTGCAAGTGTGGGTGTTCTTGTGCACATGCCCTCTCTTCCCATCAGCCTGCAGCTCCATTCTCCACTTGAGTCCTCCGTGGCCATGTCACTGACTCTGGGCCCAGAAGTCCTCTCAGGTCTCCTCGCACTGCTTGCCAACCAGGTCCCCAACCGGGTCCACAGAAGCCCTCTGAATATTGTAAGGCTTAGCTCGCAGCTTCATTGCTGCCTTTACCCCATTTCTCCCCAACGGTGATGCGTGTGTTTACCAATCCGAGCATGCATTTCCACCGAGTCTCAGTTGTTGTTGTTTTTTTTTTTTGGGGTGGGGGGTCTACGTTGGTGGGACCCGACCGACTGCCCCAATGTCTCCTAGGAGAGTGACCCGTTTGTTCCCGTAGTAGCAGTCCATCTGTCTCCATTGTGTCGTGTTTTTCCTGTAGGTCTTCCATTCGAGATGTATCTTTTGTTCTTTTCACCATTCCAGGCTCGTCAGCTTGTCCCTTCAAGTGGGGATTTCTCATCTCTGGTGATCTGGATGTGGTTCTGGTTTCTACCTATAGTTTTATGTATTGCAAAGGCTCCGCAGAAAGCCTCGTTCACCGGGTACGCTGTAGCCCCGTTTTAGGTATTCCAATCAGTTAAAGGCAGAAGACGGACTTACAAGCCTTCTAGTGTGATGTTTCTGACTATTCCTTTCTCTCCCACTCTAGTGTCTACTCTATATTATAATGCAAGGGAAACCAAGATTCAAAAAAACAATTGTGAATATGTTTTTAAGCAATGGTTGCTCTCTGTTTTGTTGTTTATCACAGTGAAGTATTATTTGAAAAGCATGGTTGAAATCAAATAGATTAACAAATAGCATAAGAGTGAAACTGAGAGTTCCCAAAATGGAGTTAATATTAGTTCACTAAAGGACTATCCAGTTTGAAGCTGGAGGTGAGGCTGACTAGAGTAATGAATGTGGACTACATAAGGGCACTACTGTCACAGTTAAAAAAAAAAAAAAAAAGGGAAGAGAAATTTAAAAAGCAAGAAGATGCAGCTTTCGCTTACACGCTTGCCACAAGTAGACATCTCTTCTACTAAAGAATATGGGAATATTATGTTTCCAGTCTACAATGTGATATATACACAAGAAGAAACAATACACTGGCTAAAATTTTAAGCAAATGGCATGAAAACTGTAACACAGACAAATTTTAGCAAGGAATTGATCTAAGTTTAACAACTCAGGTTCTAAATACTTAGTACACTTTCCCCAATTCCTCCATTTCTTTGTAATATTTCCCTGACTAATCCCTGCCTCACATTGGATCCAAAAAAAGGGAGAAAGAAAAATAAGAAGAGAAGAAAACAAGACACATACACTGAAAATATAACCCATTCCCATATTTTATTCTCCCTATCAATTAGCATTATGACTAATACCACATGAAATTCACAGAAGTTATAAAAAAAATCCTCCCTTATTGCCAATGATTTACTGCTCTATGCTGTTATAAATGTGTTTTAATATTTGTAATGCTGCTGTTTTATTTATTCTACCTGTATTGGGTTGTTGCTAAATAATAACAATTTCTCAGCATTTATTCACTCTTAAAAGTCAGGTTTCTTTCTAAGTATTCTCTCTTGCTACCAGACTCTAAGAAAAATTACAATTACTCTAAATTTCTTCTGAATCTCCCTATTATGTACAGCATAAAACTCATTTCCATTTAATTCAATGAAGTGCTTTAATTGCAAATCTATTAAATAACTCAATACAAAACATTATATAAATCTATTGCATTGTAAAATTTCTTTATAAGGTTTGTCATGCACATAATAGAGAAAAAATTTCCCACATTCTATTTTTTAATTATAGCTCAAAAATTTTTAGTTTGAACTCACCCATCATGGCAACCAGCTCAACAATTTGAAAATTAAAGAAATGGTGTTTTCATCAGCATTCTTTGTTGTCCTAGGGATTAACAAGATTAATGGAGTCCATTAATAATAAGAAGAAACAGAAGTGCTAGACCCTAAAACAAAAAGTCACCATAAATATACAATATGGTACTTCACATATCTGCTGGTTAAGGTGCTGTATTTTTCCCAGATATTCAACTGTTAAGAGTGAACTAAAGATAATTTAAATTTTATATTAAATTTAATTAAGTCTTTTCCAGATTCCTATCTGTTGAACCCAAACCATACAAAACTCAATGCCATCAAATTGATTCTGACACATAGTGATTCTACAGGACAGAACAGAACTATCTCATAAGGGTTCCCAAAGTGGTAAATCTTTAGAGAAAACTGCCATATCTTCTTTCCACACAGTGGCTGGTGGCTCTATCAGCCAAACTTTTAGTTCAACCACCAGGTCTCTTCATATCTAAGCTAGAAAAACATAAATGTTTTTGAGAGTTAGGAACCTTACCTAAGAGATCATTTACTAAACTCAAACTCCTGTGGAGCAGTGGCAGGCATAAAGATGAGAAAATATATCAGTTTTAAAAAACAACATACAGTCTCCTCAATAAAAATAGCAGAATATACAGCTCAAAAAACTTTTTTCTTCCATAAAAGCAATATTGTCAGAATTAATTTTTTCAAAACCCTGAAAGCATAGGATTACAGAAATCCAAGGAACAGAATTAAGCACAGGTTTACAGAAATTCAAGAATCTCAGTGAAAAGAAAGAGCCTTCTGGTGCTCTGACCTTCTCTGTTCCTACTGGCCCTCCATTCCAGTTCCACAGTACTTTGAAAACCACCAGCCCTTAATAATTAGGAAGACAGCAGCCAGACAGCCACTGGAAGAGACAGAATGACTCTGGAAAACCTTCAAAGCCACATTTCCAAAAATTGCTATCATTTCACCTATGTAGTGGTTCTCTAAGATATCACTTGCAACTGTCTGTATTTGATCTGACTCTAACTTTTCTAGTAAAGACTTATTGAAAAGAATGTTGTTAGGTGCTGTTGAGTCAGTTCTGACTCATAGCGACCTTGTACACAACAGAATGAAACACTGCCAGGAACAGCGTCATCCTCACAATTCTTATTATATCTGAACTCACTAAAGCATCCTGGCTGCCACTGTGTCAATTCATCTCATTGGGGGTCTTCCTCTCTGTCATGACCCTCCACTTTATTACGTATGCCCTCCAGGAACTGATCCTTCCTGTCCAAAATATGAGAAGAGAAATCTTGCGATCCTGGCTTCTAAGAAGCATTCTAGCTGTACTTCTTCCAACATAGGTTTGCTTGTCACTTTTTTTTTTTTTTTGGCAGTCCATTGTACTTTTAATATTATTCTCCAATACCATAACTTAAACGCATCAGTTCTTCTGCAGTCTGCCTTATTCATTGTACAACTTTCACATGCATATGAGAAAACTGAAAATATGATGGCTTGGCACAGGCACATCTTACTCCTCAAATGTATATTTGAAAAGCACAATTTTTGCACATCTTGAGATAGGGGAGAACAGTTTGGGGAAATAATATACAATAATAGAAAATTTTAAATAACGAAGCTGTGGAATAAAATGCCAATAAGGAGTTTTGTAAAGCTCCAACAGATTCCTGAGAATCCTGAAGACTAGGAAAATTCCCAAGGCTATGCACATTCTTAAGATTAATCTGAAAAGAAGCCAAAACTCTTACTGCTAGCTAACTTTAAGACTTTGCACAAAAATGAAGGGTAAGGTAAAAATGAACAGGGTGAGAGTTGAAAGCAAGCCCCAACACATACACCAAGCAATACACACACAGAAACACTCAACAAAAACTGAAATATTTACCTGACTTCATGATCACCAAGACATACAATAATCAAGCTCTCCAAAATCAAAGATAAAGACAGCATCTTGAAAGTAGCTAGGGAAAAGAGAACTATAACATAGAAAGGCAAGCAAATCAGAGTAAGCGTGGATTTCTCAACAGAAACAATGCAGGCAAGAAGGCAATGGGGAGAGATACATAAAACCCTGAAAGAAAAAAACTGCCACCCAAGAATCCTCTATCCAGCAAAGCTGTCAATCAAATACAATGGTGTAATCAAAACATTCCAGGATAAACAGAAGCTAAGGGATTTTGCCAAAGCTAACCCTGCTATAAAAACATCCTAAAGAAAGTGCTGTGGACTGAGAACCAACAAGAACACATAACAACTACAGAATGACGTACGTGGCAGCATCAACCTGAATTCAATTGACAAACTAAAGAGTCAAGAACAGAAGAAAATTATAAGAACAGAGGATCTGGGAGGTCAGTTTATGATCAAAACAATTACAATGTGAAAAAAGGTAAACACAGAAAGAAGAACAGAGATCCAGGTGGTGGGAAGGTCAGGTAGGTTACTGGATAAAATAGACTATCTTAAATGGAGGGAAGAACTAATGGAATATAAGGTAACCACAATGGGGTTGGGGTGAGGGGTTTATTTTGGGTGTTGGGGAGGGCAATACAAGAAGGGGGGAGGAGGCAGAAGAACAAGATAGATAGGGGAACACTGAGACAGGTTTGCATGGCCTAGTGGGACACAGGTAAATAGTGATGCAT